TACAAGGACAGGGATCTGTCCCTCCAAGAAATTAGTCGAATAATATTTTCGGTAAGAACTTAAAACAAGGCCACCGAATACAGACAGACTTCATTTTTCGCGCTCTATGTCTCACTCGTGTGCGCTGGTTCTATTCCCAAGTTTTCGAAGATTCTCTCCATCTTGTATAATTGTTTGATTCTCTGGGTTTATTCACTTTTCTTTTTATTCATCATTCTAAATGTTTCCTGAAGTTATATATTTTTCTTTATCTTATGACACCTCTGTAACTCAAAGAAAGAGGTGGGGGGGAGGAAGGGTAGTCTGAGACTACGTCATTATAAAAGTTGGAAACGATGAAAGTTTCAATAAAAATAATCAATTCATGATCAGCACAGTAACTGGGGGCAAGGTGGCACAATATCCAAGAGCTGGGTAACATAATCTTGGAGCTGGATGCTAATGAGTTTTATTCAAAGTGTATTTTAAAGATGTTAAAATATACAATGAAAGTTCTAAAAAAAAGTTAGTTCCTGTCCTTTTAACTGAGATGAAACGACTAATATTCGTCTCCTTCTTCTTCCTCTCCTTCAGCATCAACAGAATCCACTCCAACTTCCTCGTAGTCCTTCTCCAATGCAGCCAAATCCTCACGAGCCTCAGAGAACTCTCCTTCCTCCATACCCTCACCAACATACCAGTGGACAAACGCACGTTTGGCATACATCAGATCAAACTTATGATCNGGCTTGTTAGCTCAATTGGTAGAGCGCTGCACTAGTATCGCAGAGGTCAGTGGTTCGAATCCCGTACAGGCCTGATTTTTTTCAGGTCTGATTTTCGCTATTGCTTAAATAGCGCTATCTACTGCGAGGATCGTGCATCATACGTATCTAATACCGCAGTTCAAAATATATGAACTTCATATATTTCATTGTATCTGATTTATCACTTTCACGGGTTTATTACGAATCAACTTAACGGCCTGCTCCCAGTTGGCTTGTTAGCTCAATTGGTAGAGCGCTGCACTAGTATCGCAGAGGTCAGTGGTTCGAATCCCGTACAGGCCTGATTTTTTTCAGGTCTGATTTTCGCTATTGCATAAATAGCGCTATCTACTGCGAGGATCGTGCATCATACGTATCTAATACCGCAGTTCAAAATATATGAACTTCATATATTCATTGTATCTGATTTATCATCACGGGTTTATTACGAATCAACTTAACGGCCTGCTCCCAGTTGGCTTGTTAGCTCAATTGGTAGAGCGCTGCACTAGTATCGCAGAGGTCAGTGGTTCGAATCCCGTACAGGCCTGATTTTTTTCAGGTCTGATTTTCGCTATTGCATAAATAGCGCTATCTACTGCGAGGATCGTGCATCATACGTATCTAATACCGCAGTTCAAAATATATGAACTTCATATATTTCATTGTATCTGATTTATCACTTTCACGGGTTTATTACGAATCAACTTAACGGCCTGCTCCCAGTTGGCTTGTTAGCTCAATTGGTAGAGCGCTGCACTAGTATCGCAGAGGTCAGTGGTTCGAATCCCGTACAGGCCTGATTTTTTTCAGGTCTGATTTTCGCTATTGCATAAATAGCGCTATCTACTGCGAGGATCGTGCATCATACGTATCTAATACCGCAGTTCAAAATATATGAACTTCATATATTTCATTGTATCTGATTTATCACTTTCACGGGTTTATTACGAATCAACTTAACGGCCTGCTCCCAGTTGGCTTGTTAGCTCAATTGGTAGAGCGCTGCACTAGTATCGCAGAGGTCAGTGGTTCGAATCCCGTACAGGCCTGATTTTTTTCAGGTCTGATTTTCGCTATTGCATAAATAGCGCTATCTACTGCGAGGATCGTGCATCATACGTAAAGGTTAAAATGTTTGACAAAAGAAAGTAGAATGTAAAGGAAGCGGATGTAACTTGCAAATCAAAGGAAGCTAACCAGTTTTCTGATCCTGTCCAGAACGAGATCAATCATTTCTTTTCCGACAGTGTAGTGACCACGAGCGTAGTTGTTAGCAGCATCTTCTTTACCGGTGATCAGTTGTTCAGGATGGAACAGCTGTCTGTACGTTCCAGTGCGAACCTCATCTTAAACATGAAATTTTTGTTAGCCTGTAATCTAATAAATCGATTCCAATAACTCGTGAGCGAAATAAGGAAATTCGTTATAAAATTACGCATCGCATGCACATATACAAGAATTCAAATCTTTAACTATTTAGTTTGTTTTATTTTTGGGGATCTTTGGTTTGCATTCGCATATTATTGTTGTAACTTGCCCAGTCGCCTTAAGTATAGCGGGATCTGTTTGTAAAGCAACAAAGTTAACTCGTGAGAGTGCCCTGAAGAATATCAATTTTACCAAAGTAAACCGTAGCGATTGTAACGCACAGAGACAAACGTAACACTAAAGGAGGATTTCATTTAAATTCAAATATTGGATTGAAACCAAAATGTCCACGAGGGCAGAATTAAATCAGTTTCGAGATACATTTCGAGTTACGCGATGTCAAGAGCACACCCTTGGATAACAGTAAGCAAGGTTGCAAATCGCTGATACAGCAATATAAAATTTGCTGTGGATCTCCCAAACACCAATTAATATTACAAAAGAAAGGTTTGATCGATCTTACCGACAACGGTTGGTTCTAAGTCGATGAACACAGCACGAGGAACGTGTTTTCCCGCTCCTGTTTCGCTGAAAAAAGTGTTAAAGGAATCGTCTCCACCGCCGATGGTTTTGTCGCTTGGCATTTGGCCATCAGGCTGAATTCCATGTTCCAAACAGTACAACTCCCAGCACGCGTTGCCGATTTGAACTCCGGCTTGGCCAACGTGGACAGAAATACATTCACGCTAGGAAGAAACGATATATGAGGTTTCTTAAATCGACTGGGCCGGAAAATACTGTCCAGACTTGATCTATGAGAGGAGAAAAACCTCTAAAGTAAGACCACAGATGAAAATCGACACTAAATTACTCGCAACTTTAGAATGAAAGCTACCGCCAGTTTTGAATTTTTCTCAACTCTACTGAGAAGGTAGAAAGTCTTTCCATATGGTTCGTTGGTTTAACTTTTCTTCCCTTGTGACTTACCATGATGACGAGTGATTAATTGCTATGAAAACTTGGTTAAAATCTTTAGATATATGGCACCTTCAGACGAGAGTAACGGCTTTCGTTAGAAGTAGGGTTCGACGGAATCAAACTGTCTTTTATGTGGTGTTTCCATAGGAACTTCTTTGTTAAGTTTCGACCAATCAAAATTTAACATGGAACGTGTCAAGCTGAACAGGTTATGCAGGTTTCTACGTACATACCCGCATTGTTTGTTATAGTTCATCACAGATGATAGTTACCTGGTGACGGGCTCGTGGGAATTTAACGATAACAATGGACTTAGTTTAGACGATTGTGACGCTGGATAAATTAACAAACACACTGTGGAATGACCAAACTAGTTTTACAAACCAACCATACTTTTGTACTTTCGGAACTGTCCTTTCTTCTACATGCAGTAAAACCTGGCGTGATTTCAAAGGGGGCGCTGGAGCAAGAGTCAAATTGCTGAAAGACAGGAAAAGAACATTAGGAATAAGACCTAGCGTGACTCTTAAACAACAGCAATAGCAGCTGTGACCTGTGCAACTCTTAGAGACCACCTTTTATATACCTACTGTTTTGATGTACAATTTATTTCTACATCCTTCATAATTTTTTATTTGTAAATAATTCTGTTTTATCTATCTATTAATTTACTTATTTATTTATTTATTTATTTATTTATTTATTTATTTATATTTTGTGTCCCTAATTCGTTGTGAAAACTAAATACATTGACACATTAATGAAGCTTTTACTTTTACTAACTTGGGAAATTCAGGAAGAAAAAGGAGTTGATGCCAAGGAAAAAATTCAGAAATGTATAAAGGGTAAATTTCTAATTCGAAAGAAAACGTTATGCAGCACCGGTGGGGTATCAGAAGATAATCTGGTTTTATCGACTGAGTTGATAACAAAGGTTGGCTACCGTAAAGAGTTTCTTAAGCTGACATTTAGAGCGTTAGCGCTTCCAAAGTCGTCGGAGGGAATATAGAGGAATTGTGGGTTAGGTGTACTAAATATGCTGAAAATTTTTCGCTCCGGACTTTTTTTTTTCCGGAATGCCACAGAAGTCTGGAACAAACAATTTATCTTCCAGCTTGGAAGTCCCTCAGCACCACCAACAACAAAAGGACTTCTGTTTGTTTTTGAAAAGCTGAGCCGCAATAATGGACCACTTCTTGATACGTAAATCGGTATTCTTAACCTACCCCTGTGAGTGACAAAGAGAGAATTTCCCCTAACAATATCAACACAATATCAAGCAGACAGTGATGTGAATAATGAAACATATCAATGAGGCCGGGATTATTAATATTTGATCCAACACCAAATTCTTGGAACTAACATCACAAGGATTGTGTGACAGACAGTAAGGAGAATTACTAGAGATCTTGGGAGTGAAAAGTTTAATTATAATCCCCACGGTATCAACAAATGCTTTTTATATTCATGTCCACAGCCATAGCATAGCTCCATACTCCTGCATATAAACACACACAACCCAAAATTCATGTTTTCGCTCTGACGAAGGGCTAATGCTCGAAACATTAGCTTTAGCAACTATTTTAGGTGGCTAATTAACGTCATAAACTCACTTGATAAAATCTAATCAAAGTTTTTTTAGAAATGTAAGAGAAAAAAAACTTCGCAACAGAAGAGACTTGGAGTAAACAGTGCACTCGCTGTGAAAATAGATCAATTGCAGCCAATTGTGTCATCAATATTCTGTACAATCTTTTTTAACCTGAACACCGCAGGAAATATTTCTTTCGTCTTCATTATTTGAACAGCTGACTGAATGTTCGTTTGAGAAATTTACGCTCAAAAGTGAAATCGTCATCACTTTTTTTCAGAATGAAACTGAAAAGGGGAAATGAATGAAACATCAGACGGTTCTTCCTAGTCACTAATTGGTTCTTTTCATGACTGGGTCAGTTCATATGTCAGCGTGCGATCGAGTAAACGCATCATTTATACCCTTCAATTCACGAAGAGACTGAGTCTTCGCAAAAACAAACTCTTCGATGAAAAGCAGGTATTCGGGTTTCTTAACAGGATCCAGCATATAGGTAAGCTTGCATACTGAGGTAATTTTGCCGTCTCGATAACTAGATGTCTGATCATGTGCAACATACATGCAAACTTTTGTTTCACTGGGTTATAACTAGGCTCGTGGAATAACAAACTGTTTGTCGTTCATTACTCTGTCTCTTCGCGTATATCAAGAATTCGTTAGAAGCTTTTGATATCCGAGTTTCCCTATTAAAATTGCAATACATAGTTTGGGCGACCAAGGTATTTGTGCGGAAGAATCATTTTTCATTAATACATGCACAGGCATGCGCGGGAAACTTCCGGGACCGGGGATGAACTTTCACTTTCAGAATTACCATTACGCGGCTGCTTGCTTCCTATCATAAACAATCATAGTAGCAATAATAAATAATAGTAATAATTGAAAGAAGCACCTTATCATATCACCTTTGGCTATTATTATCAAATGGTATCATGTGATGTGATCCTTCGGGTAAGGAAGCATTCGCAACGTTAGTTTCGAAGCAGGCGGTGTGCGCACTCTGATTGCGTTGCATCATGGTCGTAAAACAAAAAGAGAGTTATTTACATCTTGACGCGTTCCAGCGAACTTCTCTGGCGGTAGCGAGATAGCGTGAATATACCTGGATTGAAATGGTGATTCATTGTCCGTTGCCGTTCCTTAGAAAGTTAAAAAGCTTGAAGGGCCTGCGTGACTCCTGACATTCTTCCGTGACAAATTCGTTGTTAGGAGGAAACTGACGTTGGTAAGAAAGATTCGAAACTGCAATCTGCCTTAGAATCTCCACACGAATGACAACAGTTACACTTACAGCCGATGGCGGGATGAATAATATCAAAGCCAGAAATTATATTCCTAGACGCGAGTTATTTGACAGGGAATTGACATGCAAATGCATATTAAAGAGACACAGACCTTCTAATACACGAACTTTTTCCACCGAGCGTAAATACGGAATTTGTAAAAGGAGAAGCTCCACGCCTCCTAAGAACGAGTTTCTCTCGCTCCACGTTTAGTAAAACGTACAGAGTTTCAAGATACGCTTCGAGAATAGAGGAAACCTAGATGCGGGTTTTGAGAAACGTATACGTTAAAACAAAGAAAATAGCGCGCGCAGAGAAGAAAATATTGCCTTTTGTAACACAACTCATCCGGCTTTGCCAAACCTCAAGAACATACAGACGGGGAAATGACATCTTAAAACTGACCGTTATTATTACATCGCAAAGGAAAGTCATTAAAAAAAAAGTCATCAGGGTTAGGGTTACAATTAAATGCCGCGGCGGAAATTCCACGTCACGCCCGGAGAGTATAAGCGAACAGTTGCCATATTTTTAATCAGTAAGCATCCCTTCGCGATCAGCGAGCGATCAACGCTATTGCATTGGTATCTGGTGCAGTTTGTAAGTTTTTTTTTTCTTTTTCCTCTACTTACCCCCCCCCGTTAGGGGTAGCATCGCGTACGCGTATGGTCTTAGGCAATAAAGACCCAGTTACCCCCCAACTGAGTTGGTGTGTATTTAATAAGAGCTAAACTTTGAGGGTAAATTGAAAGATTTAAAAGCGCTAGCGAGTGGTAGGAGACTCAAAGGCCTATCAACACCTTTCAACGGTCGACTGCCTTTTGCTTTCCGGTGTACGTGTACCGGCGTGTCGTCTCACGCAAGGTAGAGGGTTTCATGGATCAAGTGCCCGGGGCGGGGGGGGGGTACTCCCTTGTAAGGGCTAAATGGGGACGTGCGGCCAGCAAGGTATGTTTTTCGAGATTTTTGTCTTAAACACGGTATCGAATTCATCATTTTTTGTCTTACTCAGGGTATCGATTTATCAATTTTTGTCTTAAACAGGATATCTTTTCTTGGAAGATAATCAAACAGCAACATTTTTACAAGCTCTAATTCTAATTAATATTGAATTCCGTTGATTTTGGCATTGATACCAGGCACATTAAATGTCTTAAACAGGGTATCAAAAATCGGAAATCTGTCTTAAACGGGGTAGGAAAATCAGCGATATTTGTCTTAAACAGGGTCAGGGTATGGGGGGCCGCGCCGCACCTCCCCACCCAGGAATATATCGAGTACCCCCCGGATCAAGTGACTCTTTTCATTGCTCTAATTAAACTGTCCTTCGTTAAAAGATCAGAATAGTAGATTTACCATACGATACTCGTGATTAGTTTATTTGTCTTCACTCAAGAAAGTAGACGATTGAGTACATATAGCAAATGTCCTTGCAGTAGTAACGCCATGTAATGCAACACACTAAACGGAACAATGGGCCTTTTCGTTGCCATAACAGGTCTCAAACACGATCACCTAAAATGCATAAAACATTTGTACCGTTGGAGAGCTTTTGAGAGCATTTGATCAGAGCTGTTGAAGAAAGATCAAAATGGCCATACAAATTTTTGAGAGGCTTCAAACTACGACGTACAACGAATTTCACCTTCTCGAAAACCGGTCTCAAATTACTTAAAAACAGTGCTTGCGTTTGTCAATACGAGACAAACATGTTCAAAAAATACTTCTGCACATTCATAATATATCAAATTACATTTACCCAGAGTGAAAGGAAAAAGAAACGGTCAAACTTTTGGGGAATGTTCAGGCAAAATGTGGCGATTTCTGCCGCTTTTACCGCCATATAAAAAAATAACCCTACCACAATGCAATGTAATCTGAGTGCGCACACCGCCTGGTTTCGAAGCGTCCATGAGAAGCCCAAACTCCTGATGAACATAAGAAAGATAAATTTAAACCCCTGGTACTCATTGTTTAACGTTGGTCAATGGATTCTCCTCTAAATCTTGTGTGAAAAATTCTCTTCTCCACAATTGAATACCCTGGGATGTATATTAGGTGATTATTTATAGCCAGGGGGGACCAACCTAAGTCCTCCAACCCCTCTCACCACCCCCCCCAGGTGATCAATAATGACCGGTCCCGTAGAATGATTGAATGACATCATCACGCTTTATTGACAGTTAAACTGACTTGCTTCTCTGCGGATGAACCTCAATATGTCGGGCACAACAGATATCCACGTACTGCACATGTCCTGCCACACAGTCAAAATCATCGATGTAGTTTGGGGAAAATCGGTTCCTTGTCTGCTGGTTATTGGAATATTTCTGAATGCAGTCTTGTGTGTTGATATGTACCGGTCCAAGACGTACAACTCAAGCTTGGTTAACTTTTTCGTATTCAAACTGTCGCTGGTTGACATCGTGTTCAGGTTGGCAACCATTGTACCATGGGTACTATTGCTGGTAAGCGATAGTACATCCTCGGAGACCCAGGGGCTGAGTGGATTTCAAGTTAGGGCACGAAGAGCCCCTGGGGACATTGTCTTACAAGACTAGTTCCAAACGGTCGCAGTCGTTCTGCCATCTGATTGGTGCCAGAAAATCTTTGTGTTTTTCTGCCCAATCAGAGTGAAGTGTGCTTTAGAGTCCTTTCGTGTGTTTTAACACGGACATATACTAGTAGCCCAGTTGCTCGCCATGTTTGTTTGGACCGTGCGACAGAGATTTGCTTGAGGTGAAAAGTTTCAGTCTCGGCACACAACGTAAGAGAAATCGATCAGATTGTCCGCGAAAATCTTACCGGAAATTATACTGAATACTTTCGCAGGTATCACTAGAGAACGTGTTTTAAAGTTTGCGAGGTTTGTATACCACACGATGGTTGCAGTCATTGATATGTCGCTTTAAACGTTAAACTAGATTTAAGCTT